ATTACTCTCACTTTATGTTCTTTTCTTCCTTCTCTAAGTCCAACGTTTTTCTTTTCTTTTCGTCCATTTTTATTTTAAGATGCTGTTCTGTTTAAGGATTCCTCTCAGGAGATACAATGTAGTCCCTCGGACAACGATTTCACTTGTTTGGTCTTCTTTACTTGTTTCCTTTTTTTTTTTATTTCTTTAAATAAAAAGCTTAAACTACCATGAAAAAATATCGTAAAGGTCAAAACTGTAGAAATAAAATCATGAACTGACAGTTTGCCAAAGGAAAACAATGAAAATAAAAGCGTGAAGAGGAAAACCGCGAAAGCATTTTCATGTTTTTTAGCTGACGGTTTTATTGAAGCTTCAGAATTCATTAAAACATGTGCAGTTTCAGTCGTTAGGCCGTTAAAAAGTCGTTCTAATCAACTAACGCAAGTTTAATATAGTCAGTTTCGGGCTTTTCGAAGACGTCTTCTAGCGCATTTTTCTGCAAAATATACTCGTTTTGTGAACTTTCTCGTTCTATAAATTCTTTTCTTTGAAGCTCCGACTATCTTGAAATTGTTCTGATGCCTATAATCTTAGAAGGTAGAGAGGAAGGGTATAGTGAATATCGTCTTCTAACCATAACCTTCCTTGGTCTCAAAATTCATACTCGCCAAGTGTCTCAGGTTCGATTCCTGGAGGAGCTGTTCTTTTTTTTCTTACCTTTCTAAGACGGTTTACCTGCACAGTTTTACCTGGACGGTTTTTCTAACGGTTTTGAAACCGTCAAAGCAAAACTGTCATATTGGAACCATAGGAAACAAAAGCATGAACAACTAAAACCGTGAAAAAAAACCATGCCAAACTGGCTGCGAGATACCGCGTATCAAAACCGTCGTGAGTTTCACGGTTTTTTTTCTCCGTGTAGTAGCTAATAGTTGCAGCGGATGGTTAATACATATTAGCCGAGACAAATAGGTGACGGACTAGAAAAAATGAGGGCTGAAAAAAGGCTTCTTGCTCTGCAAGTGTTGGGAAAGGACATCAAAAACGGGGCATAATGTTAGTCTTTTTATGAAGATATAGCATGAACACTGCTCGCTCTGTTTTTCGATGTGTTCGCTAATATCAGCTGGTGAGACGAATGCCCCTAGGAGCAGTGACGGCGGACCCATTAGGCTAGGGGAGGCCTAAGCCTCCCCTGGAAAAGGAAGAGGAAGGCTTGGGGAGGCTCAAATATTTTAGAAAATATCATAGACCTCATATTTAGTTTACATATGGTAAGCAAAAAAGATTTTGAGCCTTCACTAGACTGAAATCGTTCCGCCGCCACTGCCTAGGAGACGCACAAATCTTTTGGGGATGATTACAACCCATCATAAGAAATATGTAGTCTCGACTTACTGTGATTAGTTTTAACTGCCACTGTTCCACCACCACGTTTTGGTAGATACACAGGTATCAAGGCTAAAACAATAGTTGCTACTAATAGCAAACCCAATATCCCAAGACCGCATAAGGCAATTAATGGAACTGCGGAAAACCAATTACGATTTTTTCTGGAAGAAATTACAAAATTAATTACTTAATCTCTACTTGTGCTAATGAGTTACATACATTGCAGTTGATGATAGCAGCGCAGCAGGGATTGTCTCAGGTGGTGGGTTCTGATGATACATTCGCCAGTCGTATGTTTGTATTTATATACTTTTCCTGAAAGTTGACTATTTATAACCGATAAGAAATTACTATTAAAAGAGTCGACATACCTTTCCTTTCTGCTTGAATAATACTTTTATAAACTACTCCTGCTGAAATAGGATATACGTGTTGCTTTTATTAGGCGATTCAAGAGAATGAATTATAGATCGTCTGTCAAGCATATTATCTTTTTTCTCGACTTTTGTAGATAAAAATTGCTGCTTCGTAGTAGGGATTATTCACAGAAACGAAAAAGAAAAGTAAGAAACGATGGAGAGTGAATAAGAGATATGTTTGTTTTCTGCATAAAAGAAGAAAACGGAAAAGAACGATACGATGTTAATATATGACAGATAGAGTCTCATGCTCCAATTTCGATAGGAAGTTTTTAGGTTTCTTAGCTTTTCTCAGCTAATTATTAAAACCTTTTATCTAGCGCCTACTTTAGTGAGTCAGTAACCTGCTAAAATTCAACACATTCTCTTCTTCAACAAAAAACAGTGTTTAGAAAGTTTATATTCTCGATTTCGTTCTGGTTCAAGATTAAAGCTTAAACCAAGTGTCGAAATAAGGAAGAAGATATAATTTCGACATATATAAGTATATTCTTCATTGAAGAAGAGCATGAAAAGATGTGTCTTTTCAAAAACAATATATGGCTCGATTCGCCGTAGTCTTCTGAATATTCCTATATGAAACAAGAACGTTCTGATCAACTCGTTTGATCAAAAACATGTTTATTTCGTTTTGTACCAACTTCACGAACTAAAACCACACTAATTATAGAAGACTCATTTCCTCAGGTATACGAGTTGTGCACGATATTGATCTATTTAGAAAAGGAGTCCCTTTAGTTTTACGATATATGGCCGTAAATCTCTTCTCTCTAATGTTAGCAAAATCTTTGTAATGCTTCTACATAAATCATTATTCTCTTTTCTCAAATCTACTAAATTTTTCTCTGACGCACAGTTTGGTTTTCGTCCAAAACGTTCAACAGCAGATGCTTTACATCATACTGCTATTCAATTGAGTAGGCTGTTAGAAGAAAACAGCAACTTTATAGGCATTGCTTTCGACTTTGCCAAAGTGTTTGATCGCATTCCCCACCAGCTGAGCAAACTTTCAACGGCAGGTCAGGTATAGCTGGAGTGCTGATAGTTTGGCTTGCTTCCTATCTCTCCGACCGAAAGCAATTGATTGTTGTAAACAAGAAGAAGTCAGCCGGAAAACCGGTGTTTAAAGAATTTTGCCGAGTTGAATGTGGAAAAATGTGTGTTATGTAACTTAACCCTGTGTGAACAGCTGCTTTCAAACGAGAAGAAAATAAAGTTACTCGGCGCTTATTTGATAGTTTGGCCTTCGATAAGTTGAAAAACAAGGCAAAAAAAGAGCAATTTTTGAACTATACTGCGTAAAAACGCCAGTTTTTCCTCTCTTTTTTTAAGTTTTTGACGTAGAAAACTCGCTCAGAACATCTCATGAAACCTTGAAAAGTGGTTTTCTGTAGGTTTCGCGACGTACTCTATCAACTGGACAGATCAAAAAAATTTTTTAGCGCAATTGGTTTTTCGGCTTGAAAACCAAGATCTTCAAGAACCGGGACTTTAAAGTCAAAATTAGCCCAAACTATTATGAAATTCGGAATCAGTATGCTCGATTAGCCCCGGTCAACTGAGTCTCAGCTCAAAAGCGTGGGAACACTTGGTGGCCTTCTCTCGTGAGTCTGATCTCGCAAAAGTCTTTTGAAACGAAAATGATATATAGATGCATTTATTCAGACATCCCAACTGGGATATACAGTATGCTTTTTATATCCCGAATGAGATACATTTTATAGTCTATTTAGGCTACATATATTTTCTGAAAAACATACAGTGAATAGAAAATAGAATTTCACATCAGAAAAACAGATTCAACCCAGTTTTTCCGAAACAAGACAGAGAGCTAGGGGAAACATCGTCGATAGTCGGCTTCGGTTAGACTTACAAACTTTTACCAAGCAGGAGGTTGCTATGTTGCTTTCCGCCTAAAACATGCGTGATTATGTTTCACATTTTCTTGATTTTCTTACTTTCAAAAATGTAACAATAATGAGAAAGAAAAAAAGCTGTGTATTGTTAAAACCGAAACACAAACATCTCAAAATCTTCGACACACTTTTCTCTTCTACTTGAAGTGTCCTCCAGCATCTGGAGTCTGGTCTTTTGAAAACTATGAGAGTGAAAATGCGAAGACAAAGATTTAACGCAAAGATTAATGCAGAAGGAGAACATTTTATGATTTTAATTGCTCTTTTATGATGTGATGTGGAAAATCATGTAAGAATATTCTGAGAAAATGCATTATTATCCATGATCAATGCTTTTCATAGTTCTATCCCTCAGCGCTATAAAATATAGGACAAACGCTTATTTGTTCTTCTCACGAATCTATTCCCCATTAATCTATGGTTGATGCCTGTAGCTAATGCATTAGTGCACTGCAAGATTCGAATGGATCAGACTTATCTAAGATGAAAAGATACGTTGCACACCTTCTATCCCTCTTATTTTTGTGCTTTTCATCTGTAAGAGCTTATATCATTTACCATGTCATTTTCCTCTCATATAATGGCCTAGGCCGCATCTGTGTAAACTGACTATTCTTATTTCTATTTCTTGAATGCACTCACTAAAGCAACCTTTACTTTCTTGTGCATATATAAAAAAGAAGCTATGCACGGTGACATGGTTTCAGTCTTTGAGTAGCGGTGTAGTTCCATATAATCAATAAACATAAGGGCTGCATAAGGTATAGACTTCTCTATGCTCAAGCTAACAAGACTAAAATTTGAACTTGGCATCAAACCTTTGCCTTTAATAATATTTTGAAAGCGAATGTAAGTGATATTCGTGATCGGCTGAACAAGACGAATCAGAATATGTATGACAAATTGAAAAATAATACCCACTCGAATTTTGCATTAGCTGCAGCTTACCTCACAATACGTGTTTCTGACATATAAACATATTTAACATAGGCTCGAACTCAAAATATCGCATATAATGGCACATCTAGAGCATCTGTCTACTTTGGAGGCACCGCCACAATCCCAAAATATGAAATATAGACTAAATCCTAGGCAATCATTCAACACTTGGGTAATAGTCTTTATTCAGCCACGGGAACCACTAGCGTTTGGAATTTATTATTATTTGGTACGCATACACTGTGAGAAGAAAAAGAGTGAAAATAACATAAATGTTGTACACCAAACACGTTTACCTATTTCGACCACGCGGATACGCAAAAATGTTTAACACACAGATACTTTTCAAGGATGAGGAGACAAGGGTTTAACGCAAAGATGCATGTACAGGAGAATATGATCGATGCTTTTCACAGTTCTACCCTCCATCGCAATAAATTGCAGGACAAACGCTAATATGTTCTTCTCACGATTCTATTCCCCATTAATCTATTGTGGATGCCTGAAGTTAATCGACCGGGGCTGTCCAAGGAGGAAACTTAAAGGAAAAGATTACTAAGGGACTATTCAACTAATGTTTCATAAATTTCACTCCGGAGCGATACAGTGAAATGTGCATATATCAGTTAAATTTATGCCTCCCAGGCTCGGGTGTAGATCCGAATGACCTCTTCTCTATTGACTTTGAAGGCTCTTTTTCTGATTTATTTGATCCACCATGAATATTGATTCAGGCAAGAACAGCTAAAAATGCCGTTTTCAAACGGTTATT